CAATAGAGATAATATTAGGCGCTCAGGAATACAGTAGTTTATTCTATTATACTCAAGGGTTACAAAAAATGCAGAATTTGGGTGGATTTTATCTGGGATATGTAGTAACTCCGCCATGACTAAGAATTATACGAAGATTCTTAGCATGACAACTAGAACTACTGAAATTCAACAATTAACCAAATTTTGGGAATTAGAAGAGGTTACCGAAATATGCAAATACGAACGATGAAAAATCGTCCGAAAATTACTACAAAGAAACTACCGTAAGAAATCCAGACGGAACTTACACTGTGAGATTACCATTAAAGAATCCGAACCAGAATTACGGGAATACTCGTCAATTGGCGCTGGCACGGCTAATACAGTTAAATTGGAAATTCGCTAAAGATAAAAACTTACTAACACATTACAAAATGTTCCTCAGGGAGTACTTAGACATGGGTCACATGAGGAAAGTTCACAGAAAAGACTACGGTCAGGGAAAGTACTACATACCACATCAACCAGTGATTAAAGAAGAATCATTGACCACTAAATTACGAGTAGTGTTCGATGCATCATGTAAAACAAGCGCCTGTAAAAGTTTGAATAGCAATATGTTTACGGGAGCCAGATTGTAACAAGATTTAGCGTCTATTTTACTGCAGTGGCGTAAACATAAAATAGTATTCATTGCAGATATAGAGAAGATGTATCGATTCATAAAAATAAATGAATGCGATATGACGTACCAAAGGATACTATGGACAGAATCGCCATAACAGCCCATTGACGAATACGAATTAACCACAGTAACATACTGAACTGCCTCTGCACCGTATTTAGCAATAAAAACTTTGCAACAGCTGGCGTTACATGAACAAAAGAATTTTCCGAGAGCTCGTCAAATAGCCCTTCGGGATTTTTACGTGGATGACATTTTATCAGGGGATACCAGTGTTGAAGCCGCGTAAGTACTACAAAAGGAATTAATAGGAATGAAGGCGGATTCAACTTGAGAAAATGGTCATCAAATAACTCAAAGTTATTAGAAAACTTAGGGAATGATACCCAGGATAACGAAATGTTAAAAATACCACTAGATGAAACTAGAAAATCACTCGGGATTTTATGGTCACCTCTAGAAGACAAGTTTTCGTTTACAATTGATGTCAACGAAACCACGGTACAATTATAATACAGTAGTGTAACTCGGCCGCATGATAGAAATAAATGCCTACAGCCGCGCGGTACGTAAACATGCGTTAGGGCTGCCCGTCTCCAGCATTTTAATTATATTTGCCTACTTTCTGTTTCTATTTAGATTTGTGATTATAAATATCCTTTTTATATAAATAAATGAAATACTTTGTATATTGAATAGGAAGTGTTCAATAAAAATGCGTGTTGTTTTTTGATTGGTAGATTTAATTATTTTATTTTCTTTCTGCATTGGAGGAGATCAAGTTTCAATTTTCTTTTTCTTGGAGTGTTGCTAGAGAGACTCGTTGAGATTTGAGCAAAGATTTCATTTGTTGCATTTTCAGTCTGTGTACTATTTTCATTTCCTACCAACGGAGCAGTTTGGGTTTGTTTATCTTCTTTTAGAGAGACTCCTGGATCAGTACTAGCTAAGTTTGGCAGCATCAACAATGGTAGGGCATTATTTCTTAAAAGTTTTCTATTTGATGAATGTAATACATCCTCCAAATTAAAATGTTTTACAATAAGTTTTACAATTTTAAATTAAATGTTCACAAACTTGGTAGGAACTAAAGTTAGGTTTGTTTTCCAAATCATCTCGCCGGATCAGTTGCAACCATTGAAGACGTCTGAAAAAAAAATACATGTGGCACTCTCGGAGACTGCCGCGGTAAAGCTGTTGCATAACATTTTTTTTTAAAGAAAAAAATCTGCGTGGTGTCAGGTATTTTCCGTTAGGTTTTGAGAATTTCTTGATTCGGTCACCGCGCCGCGCCGCGCTCAGAGCCCGCGATAAAAGCTATGCAATAGCTTAAAAATCCTTCAATAGAATAAAAAAAAAGTGCTTTCTCCTTACGCGTTACAAAACTCCAATCCTTAGAAACTCCAAGACCTGCCTACTCAACTAGAATGCAAGAAACAGCTGACGAGTAAGTAACTTTTTATCTCAGCTTATTAACGTCTCCATAAATTAGGTACCTACCTACAACTCGCAACAACTCAAAACAAAAGTTCTTTGGTCACCAATTAATTAATTATTAAAAAGCTGAACAGCTGATTACGAATGTTTTAAAATCACAACCCTCAAACATCTAAATATTATATATGAGTCTAGGTGTTGTTGTTAATACCGAGAAAATAAAACCAGTTTTTAGTGGTATATGTTGTTATAGTAGCAGCAGAAACACTTTGTGAAAATTTAGAAAACTATCTAATGACACACAGACGGTAAAAAAATAATTCTAATATTATTCATACACAGAGATAATAAACAAATATTATTAATAATAAAATACCACGTCTTTACTTTGAATTATGCAAAGTAACAAAACACACACGCACCGAAGTTTTATCACAAGCATAAGTAGGTACCTACCGTATCAAGATTCATTCAGAACCGCATATAACTACCTATTTCACTCGTCTCAATAACTTTCCGTTACTCTATTTGCTTTATTTATTCATCCAAACACCTTTTTTTTCGTGAGATAAAAGGAAATACTTATCCATTAAAAAGACACATATTATGTACCTACCTACTAGTAAGTATAATTATTTTATAGTCTTACCTTTCAGAGTTTCCAGGTAATTAAAAAAAACTTATGTCTGGATGCGTTATTGACGAATTCATACAACCAAAAACAGCACAATATTTCCTACTCGTTATATTAACTGATTTTTAGAGAAAAAAACGCGCGGTTATTGTTAAAAAAACAACACACCGTCCATTCGACACTGCGGCACAGCCGTGACTGTCTGCGCCCCGAGCCCACCCCGAGATCGAGGCGCGTAGGTATAGCTCGCGTTGCGTCCGCTTGTATGAAGTTGGAGTACTGTATTATAATAGTACCGTGACGAAACCAAGAAAGTTACAAAACGTGTCATTCTGTCAGAAGTGTCAAAAATATTTGACCCACTGGGATGGTTAGCGCCAGTTATTATAAATATGAAACTTATGATCCAGGAGTTACGGTCGAATGGCACAGAATGGGATCAACCTGTCGATAATTCTATTTTAAGGATGATGATCATAAATACAAAATCAATTGAAAACACTTAAAGAAATTACCGTCCCAAGATGGTGTCAGTTTACGCCAGACCTAAGGATCAAGCTTCATGGGTTTTGCGATGCGTCGGAAAGAGCATACGGCGCAGTGATATATTGTCGAATAAAGGTCATAACGATAACTACAATATTACGTTATTACAAGCCAAATTCAAGGTAGCTCCGAAAACACAGAAAACGACATTACCTAAGTTAGAATTATGTGCAGCACTACTACTTTCAAAATTAATGAATAAAGTTATTAAAATAATGGATATCCCTATCTTAAACATATATTGGCGGACAGATTCAATGATTACACTGGGCTGTATTAAAAGTGAAGCAGAGAGATGGAAAACCTTTGTAGCTAACAGGGTTTCTAGAATAAACACTTATTATCTGAAACATGCTGGAACTACGTAAACAAAGCTCACAATCCTGCCGACTTACTCACCAGAGGGGTCGTTCCCAGTGAGCTGAAAAATTTGACATTATGGTAGAACGGGCCAGAATGGTTGAATAATGATGTCATGCCAATTACAAAAACTAATCCAGAGATAAGTGAGGAAATAAAACGCTGTTATCATAATACATAAACTCCACAAAATTTAGTTTGGGACAGATTCTCAAGTTTCAGATAAATGATGCGAGTACTGTCTTAATGCTACAGGTTTAAAAACCGAATAAGGAACAGTAAACCTTTGAGTGTAGCGGGAATCTGTAAAACTTCAAATAAAACATTGTTACTTGTTCAACAGGAGCTATTCCCCCCCCGCTCGGTGCGCCGTCGTGGACAGACGTGTTACTGTGTGTTCCGTTTATTTTATTCTAAAAAAAAAGTTTCAATCATATTTCAGTGCATAATCTATATACTAGTGTGTAGAAAAATAAAAAATAAACAAAATGGTGTATAAACTGTGACTGTGCACTATAAACAATACCGAAAGTATTCAACAAAAAACTATTTAAAAAGTCAGTTAAGGTGTTGTTACCTAGTGCAACCGACATTGAAAGCGGCAGAGGTCAACATCGTAAATGATTTGCATATTTTTAACACCTGTCTTATAATCGATAAATTGGATTACTTACTTAATTAGTCAGCTGGCGCATTTTGTAGTGCACTCAGTCGTTACTCTCGAGGGTATAAGTTCAAACCTCACCGAGGTCTGTTGGTTCTTTTTGGAATCTTTCTATGTTCTAATATAACAATCTAATTTGAAACCAAATGAGTTCCAACATTGAATACAAAATGAAGTGCAATGGTTGTTTGAAGAATGTAGTTAATGCAAATTGCATTAAATGTTCCTCACAAACATGCGACAAAAACTTTTGTTCGATGTGCATCAACGTTTGCAATATGTCGGTAGAGAAAAAGAAGAACTGGAGATGCCTCGATTGTTGCGCTATGAAGAAGAAGGTTGGAGATAACAGCTTAACCCCTGTACGTCCTGCTGATGACAATGTTACACTGAGGAAGAAATGCAATGAAAATTCCGATGATACTCTCCATGTCGAGGTAAGGCAGCTAACAGAGGAAGTTCGTCTCCTTACGCGAGATATCGCCTCGCTTAAGGGCCGTCTAGAAAATGCCACATCAGGTTTGACCAGCTGCCAGGCTAGACTATATGAATTAGCGAGTTCTACAGCCTCCAATGATTCCAGACTAAAAACTCTAGAAGGACGTGATAAGGAAGTGAAGCTGCTAGAAAACAAGGCGATTGAGCTTCAGCAAGAAATAAACTTCTAGTCGCAACAACATTTGCGCAATGAAATGAAGTTAGCTGGCATTCCTGAGTGTAATAATGAAAACCTGCAACACATTGCACTCTTAGCGGCGAAAAAAATAGGTGTCGATCTGTCTGACTGTTATATCGACTGGGTGACCAGAGTTGGACCCCGTGTCCAGCGCGGGACTACTATTACAGAGAACGACACTACGTTCCCGCGACCAATAGTGATGCGACTCCTGCGTCGAAATAAGAGAGATCAGCTAATAAAAGCATCAAAATCTCGACGGAATGTAACCAGCTCTGACTTGGACGTTCCCGGCAAATCATATAAAGTCTTTTACAATGAACGGCTAACGAAGGAAAATAGAATGCTTTTTCGTAAAAACAAGAACTAAAGCCAAAGAACATGATTACTCCTATTGCTGGGTCACTCAGGGCATCTTCGGGATCTGAGGTAACTTCAACGGTTTCTGCAAATGCGCTCTGTCGGTGTTGTACGGGCAATGCACCCGCACATTGTCGTGTCAGCATATTACGCCAACACGTACATTTTACTCATTAGCAATAAGCAGTACATATCAAGCTTCGTACTCAAACGGTTGACCTAACAAGAGAGTCATTAACCCGTATCATTTTAGATTTAGTTAGATTTAGCTAAATACAATAAATAGTTAAAACAAGTTAACTAATTATCGAGCATTTTATTTCTTGGTGTAAATACCTTACATCAAAGTGGTCCTTCGAGGTTTGAACCTAGCGCGCGGTTTGGTTTTAAGCAGGACCTTCGCGTGTAAAAAGTAAATATCGTAACGAAATTGTTCTAACAAGTGAATAATTTCGGCATATTCTTCATCGACGGACAACAGGGCTCCGTGAACAGAACTTCAAGGGTTTGCAGTTATATCAAGTAAGATCTTTTAATTTATCTAGCAAAACACGATGTCGCAAATCGAAGCCGTCGTTGTAAATCAAGAGCAACTCGTCGAGGAGATGGAACGGCTCCTCGCATCTTTTAAGAAAACTGGGCGGGACAAGAGAACAGCTGACTATATCAAGAGGAAGCTGGACGCTTTAGAGGAGTATTGGAATGAATTTCAGGGTAACCATGAACAGTTGAGTAAGTATGACTTAGACGAGTCTCCTTATTTTCAACACAGATACTTCGAAAGTGCTGAAGAAGTTTAAAACAGGAAACAGGAAAGTAATTTTAGAGCTTTCTCGAGGACGACATCCCATATGGACCTGGAAGCAGTTACGGAGAAATGGGAATTTCAAGACCTGTTTGTTTCAGCTTGAATCAAGATGGTCTACCATCGACAAATTACATTGGGAATTAGATAGCATTATAAACGGCACCGAGGTGTATGAACAATATGAGCATAGTTTTACAGCGCACGAAAGGAGGTATAACTTCGTGAAAAAGTCAATTAACAGCAAACTATGGTCTGTATCACACAGGGAGAAATCAACACCACAAATGGAAATTCCAATATTTCATGGTAATTATTATCAATGGACGTCATTCAAAGATTTATTTACCGAAACAATTCACAGCAATCCATCACTTTCCCAGGCTCAAAAAATGCAGTTCCTCAAAAGCAAGGTGGGAGGCGAAGCTGAACGACTTATTCAACATTTACAGATAAGTTCTGAAAATTACAGTGTTTGTTGGGAAATTTTAAACCACAGATACAATAACAAGAAATTAATTTTCACATCTCACATGAATATTTAAATGTCGCTACCTGTAATACAAACCGTGTCGATGAATATTATCAAGCGCATTCACGATACCACCCTTGAATGCCTAAATGCTATCAAAAATTTAGGTGTGCACATAAGTACGTGGGACCCAATTCTAGTACACGTATTGTCCCAAAAACTCGATCCTGATACGCACAGTGATTACTTGGAATCGCTTAAACAGCCGAGAGAACTTCCTACGTTACAAGAATTTCTATCCTTTTTAGAAAGTAAGTTTACTACTATGGAATCCACCATGACACGGAGAAAACAAGACGCTCCGCAAAAATCCGTAAAACAAAACTTATCCACAGCATTAGGATCGAAGCAACAGCAAGGTAAATTATCATATCATAAGCAGTCATTCACAGCAAATAAAGTCTCGTCAAACTCTAAGAAACAAGTTAGTAATTACTCTCATACCACGAAATGTCTCATTTGTGAAGAAAATCATAGTTTATACTATTGTCAAAAGTTTTTAAACATGCCAGATAGCAATAAAATTAGAACAGTGGAAAATACAATATTTTTAAAAACTGTTTGTTCAGCCATAATGGTAAGGCTTGCACTTCGGACAAGCCATGTCGTCATTGCGGAGAATTTCACAATTCAATCTTGCACGAGGCGCACATAAATTCGTCGTCAGCAAAACCAAAGATTGAACCAAAATTTAGCACACATGTTGTATTGTTGTCTTCATTATTTTTAAAATAATATGTAGGTCTTCTTCAGTTTATTGTTGAGTTTATTTTACATTTATTGTAAGTATTAATATTATATTATAAATCTAAGGATTCATGCTACGTGTTGCTTCTTGGGTTGATGCGACAAGAGGGGAGAGTTGACATAAAGCACATTTGACATTTGTCAATCATAGACAAGGTAACGTTCCGTTACTACATCATCCCCTTTTACAAATATTTAAAAAATGAAACATTCAAACATTCTGCCCCTTAAACAAATTATTAACATTAAACTGCTTTTAACAAAAAATAAGAACAAACTTCTGTTATTACAATAACTCCATCATCCCCTTTTACAAAATAACAATCTTAAATACTAAAGTACTATAGTATTAGGATATTACATCAGTCTTAATTACTACAATATTAAGTTACACTGCAATCACACACTCAACCAGCAAGCCCCTCCTCTGGTGAACCACAAAGTCTACGCTGGTCGAATGAAGAAAGAGGTTCTGGTATAATTTACATTATTGTTATCCCTAATGTTAAAAGACCTATTACCATTATAACTAACAATTCTACCTTGTAACCATACATTCTTTTGTGGCTCTTTTTTAAACCATATATTTTGACCAACATTAAATTATTTTTTCATTCTACTCGTCTTATTATAACTCTTAATATTTCTCTCCATTTGTTTACTAAATTGATGCTTTACATTACTATTTAATTTTGGTTCCAAGTATTTATGTGAAGTTATTAATTTTGTTCTTAAATTCCTATTCATTAACAATTCACAAGGAGAGAAATTTGTTCCAGTAACTGGTGATATTCTATATTTTAACAAAGCTACTCTAAAATCTGTATTATCCTCATTACACTTATACATAATTTTTTTAGCTATCTGAACTCCTCTTTCAGCCATTCCGTTAGACTGCGGGTATCTAGGACTAGTGTAAGTGTATTTAAAACCCCATTCTTGGGCAAAATTTTTACATTCACGAGAATCAAATGGTACATGGTCTGATACAATCTCAGAAGGAACACCAAAGTTACAAAATAAATCTAGTAAACTATTATTAATTGCACTTGCAGTTTTGCTGCTCAGATACTTAATGTCTAACCACTTGGAGTAATAATCATATATTATCAAATGACTTTTCCTCTTAAAATCCATGATATCAATACCTAACTTTGAAAATGGTAAACTAGGAACTGTATGTGAAATCAATGGTTCTTTTACATTATTATTTTGATAAGTCTGACAGGGGAAACATTTTTTCACAAATTCTTCAATGTGACTATCTATATGAGGCCAATAGTATAATTTCCGAGCTAACTGTTTCATTTTTGACATACCTATGCACACGAAACGCGAGCTTGTCCAGATAAAGACACACCAGATTTTAAGCCCACGTGCGCACAGTGTAAGCGGTTCAAAAAACCATCTGACCATCGATGCGGCTCATACGACTGTGCCACATACAAATTAAAACTGGAACAGCTAATATTAAATACCAATTACTGAATAGTTTAACTTAGTTTAAAAAAAAAAAAAAAAAAAAAAAAAAAAAAAGTTTAAAGAGTAACTTACTAGTAATGAATAATATTTCGATAGGCCAGTTAAATCTTCATAACGATAAAATAGCTACATCAGAATTAGACCGTTTAATTTTAGAACAAAAGTTAGACATTGTCCTTTTACAAGAACAATATCAGAGCGCTCACTTGCGTCGTAATGTAGTACAGCTTGACTGCCGTTCGCGGGCTGGGATATATGTTGCAAGTTCTAATTTTACGGTAACATCTTTGCGTAATCTTATGACGTCACACTGCGCCGTTGCTGAGATCTCATCCTCTACCTGTAAGGTTTACGTAGTGAGCTGCTATTTTCAATATTCACATCCTATTGATCCTCACTTACATCACTTACGTTACGTCTTGCAGTTCCTCGTGGGACATAAAATTATCATTGGAGCTGATGTCAATGCGTCATCTTCATTATGGTATGGCAAGTTGCGTTCAACCGACACGGTTCGACGTTGTGCGGTTGAAGATTTCATTGCGGAAATGAATCTTATTATTCACAATACCCCCGATGCACCACCAACTTTTTGCAACCCAATGGGTGAGTCTTCTATTGACGTGACGCTTACGCGCGGCGACGTCTCGATATCCGGATGGCGTGTCCTTCCGGACGCATCCTGTAGTGATCACCGCTTAATCGTGTACGAATTCATACCAAGGGTTGCACAGGATCCACAAAGGGCTCCCTATAATTTTAGATATAAAACTAAAGGTGCGAACTGGGCTTTGTTTGGTTCACTCTTCGCAAGTCATACCAAAGACTTCAGTCGCAGTAGTTTATCAGCTGAGGAAAGCGCAGAAATACTATCAGAAACTTTTACATACTGCGCTGATGTAACTATTGGTCGCGGATCTATCACTAACACTCGTAGATGTGATTGGTGGAATGATAGATTAGCCGAACTACGTAGAAGCTACCGGAAAGCTCGTAGAAAATTAAACACTATTAAAAAACATAACGTAACAGGAGATTTGTACAACAATGCTCTCATTGCTCTTAGAGTTGCCAGGTCCCACTACAGAGCTGCTGTGGAAAAAGCCAAGGGAAACTTAATTCAGAAACTTGTTGATAAACTCGATAGAGAGGGCCCGTGGTCACCTTTGTATCACGAATTTAAGGCAAATAGATCAATCGACCTTGCATACATACAGAACATCAAAATTAATAACAGATATACCACAGGAGTAGAACAAACAGCAGGATATCTTTTAGACTCACTCGTACCTGACGATCGACCGGAAAACGACACTGATCATCACCGACAGATCAGGCAGTGGGCCATCGAACCACCACTGTCTCCAATGTCTGATTTACCATCTTCAGACGAATTTCTCGGTATCATTAGATCCTTGCCGCTAAACAAGGCTTCGGGCGATGA